AGGATTTGACGTATTACCAATAAAAAATTGAAAAAATAGAATTTCATTAAAAATTTCGATGGTCCATCAAAAGGTGTCCTTATGGTGAATGTACCCCAGTTTTTGGCCCGCAATTACAACGGTCCATAATTACCGGCCCTTTTGCTCAGTCCCACTGTTCAAGCGAAGTACCCCAATTGTGTGAGTGTATTTTTTTTTAGTTTGCTGGTTACAATGATTTAATCGTCAGTAAATCAGTTTTAAAGTGCTACTGTAAGTATAATTTACCGTCTCAATCACACAATTGACTCAGTGATGATTGTTGTACGATTACTTAATATAAACAGATTCACATAACCCTACTTATGAAGAAGTTGCTAATGCTTTTAAGTTTTCATTAAATTCAAGCCTTTATTGATGATAAAAGTTCAAAAGATGCATGCACACTTTCAATTTTCCTTACTGTTTTTCACATAGGTACTTATATTTTCAGACAGAAATGGATTCAAGAGATGTTATCAAAGGTTTTAGAGAAAAAATAAAAGTTATTGCAGAAAAAATAAAAAAAGAAGAAATTATTGAAACTAAAAGAGGTTTGATCGAAGAGAAAAAGAATATTGAAGATGATAAATTTAGATTTGAAATGAAACTTAAAGATATTCAAAAACAGATTAATGATTTGCAGTACGATATAAAATCTGATAGTTAATTTCCAAATGTATCACGAGAACTTCTTGTAACTGTATACCCAAGTGTTCATTTTTTAAAATTAAATCTAGGTATATTTTGTAACATTACAATTTTACTGTGATATCATAACTTTAATGAATATTTAAAATAAAAGGCTACAATAGTAAGTATAAATTACTAAATCTTCATAAAAAGCTCATAATATATTTGCTCTGCGTAAATAATGCGAAAACACACAGCGGTCCAATAATTGGGGTACGCAAGGTCTTTGCCATGGAATATGCATGGTCCAACAACTGGGGTACTTCGCCGTCTAGTCTCAAAAATATGGTCTTAAAGGTCATATTTTTAAAAGCTAATTATTAAATAAATGAGCAAAAATTTTAAGTAAATTTTGTAAAGTTTCATTCAAAAAGGCATTTAAAATGAATTAAACAAAAAACTTTTGCATACTATCGGTGTTTTGTGTGTGTTATATTTATTATATTGCTGACCTCAACATTTAGGGGACCACAATTGGGTACTTTACCTTACCAGGTTCTTCCAAAATTTTTAGCCCAAGATTTTTATACGAACTTTTTAGATGCATGATTAAAGTTAATTACAATTATTGCAATAAAATTAAAGTATTGGAAGAACCGTTACCTGATACATTGAAATGGGCAGACTATCGAGAAAGTGCTGCATGTCGCTGTCATCCTGGACAAACGCTAGAATAGAATATCGCTACTCAGTAACATCATCAAACAAAGTTCCATCATCATTTTAACATTAAGCCTCTTATCACCGCAAGTTTTCTTACTACTATATACAATTTCTAATACTAACCCTCTGGATCCCAAGTGCTTAGTGCAACAGGCAATCCATTGCTTAAGTCATTTGTCACACATTAACTATGCACAACAAAAACAACAACATAAAAATACATGGTAGAAAAGAGAAAGAGAGACGAGACAGAGGCTGATATTGTATTATAAAAGCTCAAAAATTTAATAAGAGAAGTATGAACTGATGCAAACTTCGAAAAAAAAACTTATACAAAGGTGGTAGCTTGCACATTTAAGCAGGTAAAAAAGAAAAAAAAATTATTCAAGCCAACTAAATTTCTCAATATCCAAAATATAAAGTGCAAACTTATACACACACACACACCCACACACACATATATATATGTAGCTAAGTAAGCCCTGAAGAAGTTAAGAAGGTTCTAAATTCCTTGGGGAATTAAACACGTTGATAGAAGATGCTGTGTACAGAGGTGCACATAGATGTGTAGTAATGTAAACAATGGACTTAGAGCTGAGTCCTTAGAGAATGATGAGCTAATATGAAGTTAGAACTGAACTCACCCTTATTGTGGCCATGGAAGGAAGGCTGGATCTGGGTGACTGTGGCCAAGAGGACCAGGAGAAAGAGACTGCGGCATACTCGAGCCTCAATCATAATGGTTTGCTGTAGCTGCATTTAACGATAATAATGGTGATGGCAGACAGGACAACTGTGATGATTTCGTTGTTGAGCAGGTGCTGTTCAATTTTGAGGAGTTGAGTAGCGGGAGCTCTGCTTTGCTGCTGTATATTCCACTGCTATTGTATCATTGAATTCAAGTACTGATCTGATTCTGGGACTAATTTTACGATAAAATGTACCTAAACCTAAGGCCAGTTTGGCCTGGGCTGATGGATCGATGATTGCGCGCGCGCCTCTAACTATTCTATTTCACGACTTTGGTCGCTGCCTGGCCTGCTCACCCTGCTACCCATGAACCCTGAGCTCCGAGGTGCTTGTTCTCTTCAAGGTTTTTTCTGTCTATAGCATCTAAAGCTCCATTACCTGCAGTCCACAAACCCGTTATCGTAAAATCATTAAATTATCAACGTTTACCATCGCCACAGGCCCTACTATTACCGCGTTGAAGTTCAGTGTTCGCACGATTCTTAAGGATAAGCATTTTGCGTTGCTCTCGCAGTTCGATACTACATTGAAATGTATATCTATATTGTGGCCTCAAAGCGACTCTCTCAGAGCTAAGGCTATGATTACGTTTTTTTTTTTTTTTTTTTTTTTAAGATAGTGGATAAAGATAAATTATAACCACCTCAGCTGTCCGCTAAGTTCCGCAAATTCTAAATCTTAATCGCTCTTTTCTCTGTTCTTCTCTCTTGCTCTTATTTGCTGGCATAGACATATAATAGACCAAGAGCTGAGGACGAGGGGTGGTCAAAATTTTAACCAGCCGCCACTCTCACCAGAATTAAGGAACCTTATGATTTGTGAAGATCCGAAATATTTCGGTCATATTTCATAGTGGTAGAGTTATGTGATAATTATAATGGTGCCATATAGTCTTTTTTTACTAACTAGCCGCAACTTACACCAATGGATAGGATATAAAGTTGTCCATGATAGTGCCATTCGCGGCAAGATTAGAATGCATCTTGTACCCGAAAATCGACCTTCGAAAACATCTTAGAGAATATATACATGGAGGAAGCATTGTATGCTTCAACCGCGAGACGAGATGAGAGAGACAAAAGACAAATAGCAGTACAACCTTTCTCTCTCTTAAACGCCTCTGATTGGTTGGCACCCCTCCGTATATATAGGTATAGTCGTATCCACGAGTGGCGGTCGTGGGGGAACAGAGCAGATATATGTAACCTAAGCTCTGATGAAAAAGAACTTATACATTACCAGAGAATATAGAATATATCCTCTTTAAGTATAGAAGGCCAAAGCGGAATTCCGAACAATACACACTAAAACAATAATCTTCCATTACAACACAATTAAAACAACAAAATTTGAATAAAAATTTCCAATTTTAATTAAAGCCCTCATACCTGGTTAAACAGTTCATGTATGGCTAATGACTCAGAATGTTTGTCATCGATAGCTGAGCGGTCAAGAATGCTCGATTAGCTTTTGCGCTCTGGGCTTCGCCAGAAAAATACTAATGCAAAAATGTGTAAATACTTTTTGTATATTATTATTATTACAAGTGTAAATATTATTTTTTTAATTATTTACTGCATTGATCGATACGGATTTATTGGGGTTCTAATATCTAATNTAAAAAAAATTTTTCCAGGGCAAAATAAACAATATTTTTAATTTGTTTAAAAAATTTTGTTTAAACATTTTTCCTACAATTTTGAAGCCTGGCAACATGCAAATTCGTTTTTAGGTGATCATTTTGCGTAAGATCATGCAAAAAAATCTTATCCAAATAATTTCTCCCACGAATTCCAGATTACGACCCGGACTATGAACCCTCCTCGAGGAGCATTGCGTGGTGAAAAAGCACTTGTGAAAATACACAGAGGTACTTGCCCGAAAAAGTCGCACTGGCCGGGAATCGAACCCGCAGTCTCCCGCGTGCGAATCCACGACCTAGCCGACTGAGCCACCGAGCGCTCTTACATACATATATGTTGAAGTGGTCGCGGTGGCGCAACGGTTAGTATTTGGGGCGGTTAGTACTTGAATATGGGTGACCGTCCAAGTCTCGCTGTTTCGCCTGTGCTATTGATTTTTCGAGAGTCGATTAACTGTTTCTCTTACGCTGGGTCAACGTGGTCATAGGTGTGATTGAGTTAGCCCTGGTGTTTATACGTATTCAAATGCGTATAAACACCTGGTCATAACTCAGGTTTCCACCGATGGTTAATTAACACTACTTTTGTGTAATAAAGCCATATCTGAGACTAAGGGCTATGATGAATCATAAAAAAAAATCTATATATTGAATGCATTTATAGTTATAGTTCTGTGTGAAATTCTTACACGAGCACACTACCACCATCTGAAGGTAGTAGACTAACTCTCTTTGAGGCTCATTCCGAAAAGCTTACACGTGTCTCAAATTTTCGTATTCTCTTGGTCCTTCTGGAATAGCAAATCAAATTTTTATATTGACAGAACAATAATACTGCAATTTTTCAGTGAACACTTTACTAGGTTTGTTCATTCATCCACCTTGGAGTGCTCCGAGCGATCTATAAATGAACACGATTTCTTTGTCGGAGCACTCGGAGGCCTTCGAGATATCCTTATACGATATAGGTATATTCACCGCTTATAACTGAGATATCTCGGAGGCCTCCGAGTGCTCCGACAAAGAACTCGTGTTCATTTATAGATCGTTTGGAGTGCTCCAAGGTGGATAAATGAACAAACGTACTATTTACAATGTATTGTTCATCAACAATGTAAAAGAGCTAATCATCAACAATGTAAAATAGCTAATCAACTATTAGTGAGTTTTTTAAAATTGAGATGTTTCGTTATCTACATTGCGTTATACCTGAGCCAATCTTACATTAAGATGAATAATTCATTCATCCTTCAATTTTTTAAATTGTTTAAAGAACAAATATTTACTTTTTGAAATGTTCATCAACCGTTTTTAATGGTACTCGCTTTTTTTTGTACATAACATTTTTTACTGTAAGACACGATATATATATGTATATATATATATATATACAATGCAATCAACGGGTCTGAATAGTTTTTACTTTTGAAAATAAACACTAAAACCAAAAACGGTGAGAAGAAAACTGACTGAAATCTTCTTAAGTTCGATCAATAAAGGGTAAATCTTTAATAAAACGATAAAGACCTTGTATACATTATTGTCCTCTTGAATGGAGCTCTCAGTCGTGGTGGACGAGGTCTCCTCCTCAGAGTATTGATTAACTTTCTGACAAGCATTAGCCTCGTATTTTTTAAAAGCATTATTATTCGCATTATTGCTACCATTAGAGGCAGGCTGTTTGCGGTGCTTGAAACTACTTGAGACAATGTTGCTGCCGGTCTCAAGCTGCTGTATCTCGTGATTGATGTGCTTGGTAGTTTCTTCCTTGCAAGTTTTGCCCTGCTTTCTGTTGATGATGGGACTGGACTTGTTGGAAATCTTTTTCTCAGATGGTGCGATTTGCAGCTCGACAACAGCCACGTCTGCGACACCATCCACTAGTGATATCTTCAATGAACTTTGTCGTTGCTGCTGCTTACTGTCACCGCGTTTCTTCGAGTTACCAGTAGCACTGCTAACCGATGCCGGTTGCTCGAAACTGAGCGACGCTGAGTCGACACAGCGCTTCATTCCATCCCGAGCATCGCTGTCCAGTCGGAATCTACGTTCTTCCTCGGCTGACCAGTCGGTCAGCAGCTGGTATTGTTTGTAGCTGGCCCTGTCCTTACCCCGCTTGCTATTTACGAAGCTCCAGACTAGCAACGAAGCGGCTGACGACGTCGACGTATCATCTTTCTTCCCACTGATCTTGCTACTTGCTCTGCTATTGCTACTATCATCCGTGGCGGGTACCAGCTTCTCTTTGACATGCTGGTGATATTGCTGATGATGGCTGTTGGCGTTGATGCCGTGCTGCTGTTGCATGGGCGAGGAATGTGAAAGCAACCGTAAGTCTAGTGGTGGCTGCGTAGGATTGCCCCGCGACATAGTCAACAGCAAGACATTCAGTATGCGATCGGCCTCGAGGATGGCAGTAACTAAATAATTCATATGTATAATACACGGTACTTTGATGTTACTTTGTCATTTTCATCTGTCTAATAAAGCTTTTTACCTTTTTAACCTTTATGATTTGGTAATATATTTTTAATGTTACAAAAGTATAACTTTAATAGAGTTATTTTCTTTGCGTTGGTTTTTGCATACCATGGGTACGTACAAACAAATAAAGAAAAGAAAAAAAAAGCCTACAAAACCAATTCCATACGTGTGTTTTTATGTGTATATATATATAGTCTCACCCAAAATTCCAATAAAGAGAAGCCCTGCAAGAACAATAGCAATGCATTGGATCACTTGCTCCCAACTAGGCCGAGCCAAAATCCTTGAACACGCCTCTAATTTGTTGGCAGGCAAAGTGGTCAGTAGGCTCAGCCTGACCATACCATCGACTTCATGGCCGAGCTCGACGCCGTCCTCGTCGTCTTTCTCCTCCTCCTTTCCTTCTTCCTTCTCGTCTTTTATACCGTATTTCCGCGGCTCCCATCCCATGCTCGTTTCTATCAGTAGGTCGCGCTCAACGCGGAAAAGCGTGAAATCGGGCGTGAAGGCAATATCGATTTGGCGGCTGTCATTCGGCTGGAGCCTAAAAGGCTCGCAGTTAAGTACCTTGAATCCATAGCCTTGGCAAGTCAATCCATTGATATAGAACCTGTGCACGTCGATCGGTAGTTCACCAACATTACGGGCCATGAACGAGCGTCTCAACGTTAAATTCAACTCTCGTCCAAACACTTCACTTTTGATTTCGTCACCTTTAGACAAGGTTCTGTCTTTTGTTATGAAATCTTCTTGCTTTGCTGAAACATTTTTATAGGAACACAATGAACAGAATGTTGTCAAAAATAAAGCATCAGATAACACTAAAATAACTGTATAGAAGATGTTTTCATAAAAATCCCGTCAGATTTAATAATTCTTATTCAAGCTAAGTTCATACCCCTATCGCGTATAAAAACTAATGATATAATTATATTTTTAAGAAAAACGATGATGCTATATAAAGCACGTAGAAAGCGTACGATTGTTTATAATATGACTACGTGATTTATTGTATCTGCAATTGTACTGTGAAAAAAATTGTATTGTTATACTCAAAGTGTTCTACGAATGATAATTATGTATGTATTATATGTATATATTTCACGAAAACTGCGATATTTTTACGCTTTAATTGAGATTTTTTAAATTGAATGATAAGAATTTTTTTATTATGTTTTCCAGGTTATATCAAGTCTTAACTAGTTGGAAACGTTTGGGCCCGACTCTACGATCATTTATTATTAACCTTTGTTAATTTAAATGCATTTATTTTTTATTTAGAGCTTTACCGTAATGACAGACTTGTTGAAAATAAAATTTTTTTTTGGTTCTCAACTATCATATAAGGTGCACAACACCTCAAACTTTTAGATAATACTTCTTTAAAAAATTAATATTTAGGCGCCAGAAGCCGAAAAAAATGAAATTTTTAAATGCTTTACGTTACGGTATTGACATTTTGGCCTGTTTTTCCAACCTTATGGTCACGCAAAAACATTTTTCGACATGATCTCAAAAATGCATTTAGAGAAAATTGGTTTTCACCGTTTAAAAAAAGTTCCGACTCGAAATAATTCGATCCGTCGTTTTTAAACATGGGCGTCATGGAATACAGCATTTTTTGTGAAATGACCCATATATATACAAATAGCACATGCTGATGACTTACTTTGACAACCCTGAAGATGCCTCTCAGTAAATTCAAACAATAAGGGTTTTGAAGATCCAGGTTTGCGATTACCGAATTTGAACTGTGCGTGAGCTCCACGTCCTACAATGCCTAACACTTCTAAAATAGTCATATTGTTTCTAAAAAAATATAAAAATATTTAAATTAATTTATACTTCAAGGTACTTGACGTTCAGGTAGAAGTATCTTTCTTTTAACGTCACCTTATATATAAAAGTGCGGAAGATGATGCAGCGAGTTTAGGGGCATAGGAAAGACCTATAGTTTTCGTTTGATTGGGTTTAAGAACCAAAGGAATAGAGTTCTGTGCAGATGCAATACTCCATTCACGTTCAAACAAATGTTTATTATTCCCATAATCTTCTAATTTGAACTCTCCTTGTATTGTATTTGCGCATTTAGTGTATGAAGGTTTAAATCTACAAAAATACGTAATTTTTATGGAACACTCAAAACCTAATGGGGAAGTAATTCACAACCAGTCATCTTACTCATTTGGTAAAGACTGGAATAACCTTGATCCTTGAGGATAGTTCCAATCCATTACCAAATGGATCAATAATGGATTCAATGATGGATTATGCAATGTTATATTTTTGTACGATGTGTTACCAACTTGAGTCAGTGGAAAGGACAAGCTTTTATATTTTGTACCTTGACTGCTCACCAGGACACTGGGCCAGTGTGGTTTTATACTCACGGTAAATTTGTACCCCCGAACTTCACTGGTATCTAATTGCATTGTTATATTGTCCCACGAGTCGCCAATTGTATTTAAATAGCGAGTATACAGAGTATTCAATAAATTTAAATCAGAATCACGCGTATGCAGAGGTAAACTCAAAGTGTTTAACCATTGATTTCCATCTAGAAGGTAAAGAAAAAAATTTAATTGACATTTAGTTTTTAAATTTTTATATTTTGAAGTACACATGTAATTTACCACTATTATTTAGAGATAAACCAAGATAACAATTCGGCTTGCAAGTGACCAATGGATCTATCACGATAAAGCCAACATGATTATCGCCTTTGGAAATAACAGGATAGGAAGTCTCTTCTAAAGGAGTGTACTTTACTCTTTCGTCTTCATGCACTGGCTTAATAAAAGTTACTTCCATTGGTCTGATGAACGTTGAATGAACCTTAATTTGTTGCACACACGAGGAACCCTTAAAAAATGTAATGGAGTAGGTAGTCCAACAGAAATAACAAACAGAAACAAAAACAAAACAATGGAGACTGAATCTGAGCCAAAGTATTCTAACACACACACACACACACACACACACACACACACACACACACACACCCACCCACACCATATTAAATAATTGATTTTTAATAAATACTTACAACTATTCATGTGTATGTAAATTACACTTTTATTAAAGTAATACAAACGTAACAAGGATAAAAAAACGTAATTTTAAATTACAACTTATTACTTACGGGAAAACAATTTGTGAATTTAAGTCTTTTCATAGTTATTTTTCCATGAGCCACTCGCATGTAAACTGGAACCGTTAACCTTTCGTAAAATGTCTTTACAAAAACATCACCAACAATAGTATCCTCCTCTATGTGTGGTGTTTTAACTTTAATCTTAAAGATTGCTAAGTAACTTGGTTTTAAGTTTTGCTATAAATATAATTGGAGGAGTAACTTGGGAATCCTGATACGCAAATAAAAGAATGAAAATTGTTTTAGAAAATGTCAAGAACTTACATTTCCCGTAGTGCTACAGGCAGTTATATTTCTTATTCCTCTATTAAATAAATCGGTGGGACCACTCTGACAACCCACTAGCTCTAAGACGGCCCCGGGCATATTCACACCCCAGCCGTGCAGTTCTATGTTTACAGGATTTTGATTCTCTAGAGCAAAGATGCCCTCGTTCTCGGTACCGCTACTCACGGTGCCGAAATTGATTGAGCCTTTATCGCGTTCTCGTTCATCTGGGATTATTTTTCGCAGCTTTCCATTGTAACTGAGCAACGGAACTTTCGTTGTTGACACATTCGAGTATATCAATATCGACGACTCAAACTGCAAATTGTCATTTTTTTTATCATGCATCAGAGATAGCGTGAATATGTCATCCCGTTGACCAGGTTTCAATATCTTTGGGACAAAGTTACTTATCTATAAAAAACAGATACCAGAAATTAAAATTCTAATTGACTCAATGTGAAATTGAGCAATTAATTACCATTGGTTAAACGAGACATACTCTAAAAAGGAGTGCAGCCTTTGAGGGTAGCGAAATGTTTGTAATGGCAAGGGGCTGTTTGAATTTGTTAATAACGCTAAAATTTCGAGGCTGGCTGGAGTGTGGTGAGCAATAATGAGCTGCAGAAGCATTTACTTCGAGGCCACCTTGCAATACTTCAGCCATCCATGGTATTGCCAGTTTTTGACTAGAGCCACCAGGTCCAATGCCCTTGATCATTATTTTCCCTTTAAAGTGTTTCAAATCTAGTCCAGCTTTCCCTTGAAAATTTTTTTAAAAACTTGAAACTCAACTATATTCCATTCCTTACGTTGCTTAACAGATACTAGCATACTTACAATCATAAATTAACGTTCCAATTGCTACAGGGATTTCCGTATCCCCTGGTATGATAGTGGGTTCAAAATTGACCTTAAGTGCTTTAGACGTTGGTACACTAATGATATTCTATGAAACATAATACTAAATACAATAAAATTCACGCAAAAAATAAAATACAATGTCATCAATATTTATATTTATATCTTTATACAATCTTACTTGAACTTTGACAGGTTTTTTTGCAGAATTTTTCAAAGCTATCTGGTATCGAATGGGAGACTGATAAGAGCCTCCCATACCAAAGTTCACAACTCCTGAACTTCCACCCCAATGAAGACCAGCTCCACTGCTCACTTCTATTTCTACAGTTACAATCAAAATTTCTGCAGTGTTATTAACTCTGAACCTAAAAATAGTCACCACACACCTTAGATATCTCTAAAATAACT